GGTGGAATATATGCAACGATAAGCATACTTCAAAGGGAGATCAAATTCTGTTTTCTGGAATGGGGAAAGGGAAAGCGACCCCCATGTTAATGCTATATACGTTTAAACTTTAGATATAGGAAAATAACCAGAGTGTAATGTTGCACCCACTGAAGACACTGAACCGAACAAAAAGAACAGTTTTATGGTACCGCTCTCTTTCGCAAATAAATCATAATGATCTTCTAACGCCAGGATTTGAAAATTAAATGAGAGATGGGAAACAAAAACTAAAATAGTGATATTCTGATAGAAACATACTCTAACCAGATCGATGTTTCTAACCAAAGAACAACATTGACAGCCCCAAAGCCTACCCTGCTGGTTCATAATTTTCAGCTGCACCATATAAGCGCTGAAATCTGAAATAATACCCAGAAATTTCTCTAAAGGACAATTCAACAAAAATGTCCTTATTAGAGAAAGAATTGAACACCTCATTTCCATGAAACAGGAACAGCTGTATGTATGGCGACGATATTTCGATCTACCGCTAAATGTTCTTTCAAACAGCGACAATATGGATCTTGTGCCAACGAGAAAAAGACTGCCTCTACGTTAAATAAGCACTGACCCGCCTAGCAGTATCGAAATAAGGAAAGCTTTAAAAGCTATGAAAAATGGGAAAGCTGCAGGAATAGATAATATTTCAGCCAAACTGCTGAAAGCTGACAGCGCCAGCATGATAAACATTCCGCATTCATTATAAAAAAGGAGACCTCTCTAACTTCAATAATTGGAGGCGGATAAAACTCTTGTCTACCGCAAGCAAAGTTTTCAATAAAATAATTTTAAGCAGCATTGTCGACCCACTTAATAAACTTTTGAGAAAACACATGGCATGCTTTAGGGCCAAGCAATCTGGCTTCGATAACATAATACTATGGTAATCATAGTGGAACAATGCATAGCATACAACAACACTCTGTCTGTTGAAAGCATGATATATCCCAAAGGAACAAACTGATTGTCCGATATTTAATATGGTAATATATTCAATATGGTCGAAGTCTGCTTAGGGATTAGTTGGCTGTCCCGAATATACTCGCATCGAATATGCTGCTATTTCAAAAATGATCCATTAGGCAAGAATTGTTATTATCAACCCCTATGAACAAGTACTCACGTTCAGTGTGTTTATTATACTTACAATATTTCTATAGATCTTACCGGATATATTTGTTAAGTAGTTATAACCTCATTTTGATGTAAATACATTTACTCATAAATTAGTCTAACTTGGTCATATTTTTTTCCTATCAAGGATATATAAATTCCTTAAAAGTCTTGTCTAAAACTAAACAAACAAAATTCGTTAGGAAAAAAAAAAAAACAAATTTTATAAACCAATTGTCACCATAAATTCTTAAAAGTGTTTTGTTTGTGCCCAATAAATGTAAGTAACGCTGTGACATGAGAATATTGACCATTAAAATTTATAAATACTGGATTAATGGTTTTTTAATAAAAACTACAGTTTTATACAAAAATATTAAATTTTACGCCTAAACAAATATAAATCCATTTAATAAAAGTGTCTCCTTAAATTATTGTTAATAGCAAATGCATATTTTGTTTAGTAAAACTATTTGAAGGAAAAAAATGCAATGAATTTTTTTTTACTTTTGAACGATTTATAGGTTTTGATATAAAGTCTAAGTAAATTAAATAGCCAAAAAAAATGTGATACGACTATGGTCAGTATGAACACACTGAATGATTCGTACTTATGGGCTGTAATAGACCAAACAACTAAGGCAGTCAGTCACCAATAAAATATAAATAGTATATGATGCAATTTTTATGTATAATTTACATAAAATAAAAAAAAAATAAATACATTTTTATTAAGAGTTTGAATATGCAATGCTAAGTGTGAAAAAATAGCACAATAAACAAGAATAACTGCGCCGGATCTAATATATAAGGTTGCAAGGAGGATGTATACAAATCCAACGATATTAACATAGACCATTATCGGGCCTGTTGAGCGCTCGTTTTCATTTAAAAGGTTTGTTGGTAGAAACGAAAACCGTATATAGTATTCTAAGTCCGATGTTCAGAAACTCCGTTTCCTGGACGTAATTCCTAAGAATTTTCCAATCAGTGTTCGTGAGATTAATATCTCTGCCAAGATATTTGGATTCAATTTCTACAAGAGCCTGACAATGGCAAAGAAATTGCTCCAACATTTCCCCGTCCTCTGTACATGTTCTACATTCGTCTGAACTCAGACTCGTCCAACTCTCGTTAGGGTTACCACATAGGATCTTTGTAGTTCTACCCAAGGTTTCATTATTTCAGGAGACCTTAATGGTTTCTTTCACCCATAATTTTAATTCAGCCCTCTTTGCGTCAAATGCTTTTTCGTCTGTCAGGTTTACTACCTCGAGCTCCCTTCCCTTTACAGCTATTACATTTGCTCTTTCATTGCCGACTAGTCCCGAGTGACCTGGTATCCATATGATGTGAACCTTACCACTGGGAAAGTATTCGGTTAAAGCTTCTTACAATCCAATACGGTCCTATACGATATCGCCCTAATTGCCTTCTGGCTGTCGCCCTTGTGGGCGCCATACATATTTATTGAGATCCAATTTAAGCATTCCCTTATCGCTCGAACTTCTACCAGGAAGCTAGTGTTGTTATTAGGTAAACGGTGGTGTATCTCTATTTCTGGGTGCCCAGGCCCACTTTGTCTCCCAATTTAGAGCCATCCGTGTATCAACAGATTCTTTGTGGTATTTGCTCTAAAGTTTGACCTCTTGACCTAGACATTCTATCTGTATAGCCTTCCAATGTGTCCAGTATACATTGACGTGTCCTATAAACGCTTTTGGACACTTCGCCTAAAGTTCGGTTGTAAGTGCCGCCTCATATCTTATATATGTTTCAATGGGTGGAATATATTTTTTCCAGAGCCTTGGTTGACGTAGTGCTCATGGCACCAATTATACCCAAGTAACATGTACGCTGAACTACCTGCAGTAATTTGATATTACATTTGTTAATTCTTTCAGCTATGTGGTGCATCCATCTTATTTACCGGTCAAGGATTACACCTAAGTACCTTATTCTGTCTGTCACCGGTATCTTCTTGCCCGGAAAACAGGGTTCAATATACTCAGAAATTTTTGTATTTTTTGTGAAAAGACATATGCATATCCGTCCTAGCCGGGTTAACATTGAGGCCTCTAGTTTAAGCCCAGCTCAAGACCGCGTTAAAAGCCTCTTCAGCCCTTCGGCACAAGTAATTTGGATCCTTTCCCCTTAGAATTATTGCGACGTCGTTTGTATAGCAGATCCTCCACCGATCGTCCCTTTACATAAGCATGCTGTTTATATTTGAGGTTTTTGTCTGGTCCAAAGTTTTATTTAGAAAGGTCGTAGCTTATCGGTCGATAGGTCGCATAATTAGCTTTTCCGGGCTTGAGTATAAATATTACACTTACGCCCTGCCATTTATTGAAGGGGATATGTCAATTTTAATTTTTATCAGATGTACGAAAACCAGTGCCGTCTACATCTGCAAAAGTGCCGGGAAAATACCATCCGGTCCTGCAGCTTTATAGGGAACAAAGCTCTTTATCCGTACTAAGTAGCAACATTTTATTAAAGACAGTAAATTAAAGCTACATATATAACAAGAAGGAAAGTATAGTCGGGCATGGCCGACCATATAATACCCTACACCATGAGTATATTTTAAAAATTTTTATTTTTCACAAAGAAACTTTTATGTTGAATTTTACATTAATTCCAAAGTATTTAAGCAATTTATTGATAAAAAACAAATTTTCTAAATGAGGCTTTATATAGGAGTATAGGTCAAACATGGGCCGATCCTCATTAAATTTGGGAAAAGGATATATTTTTAAATAATAGTTAATTATTTGGGTTTCATTGCGATACAAATGGTTACAAGTCAATTTTAGACGTTTAAGACATTTTTTGAAGGGGGGTTTGTATGGGGGCTAGGGTCAAATAAGGGTTGATCATTACGAAAATCTGCAGTGTCATTTATACTTATATGAAACTTATTTGTGTAAATTTTTAGAGAGATAATAGAATATTTGACGTAATTATGGCATAAAAAGCCCAAATCGGGAGGTACGGTTGTATGGGGCCTAGGTGAAATAATGGACCGATTTCAACCATTTTCAATAGGCTTCGTCCTTGTGCCAAAAAACATGCTTGGTCCAAATTTCATCAAATTATCTCGAAAATTGCGGCCTGTACCTTGCGCACAAAGTTTACATGGACAGCCAGCCAACCAGCCGGACAGACTTAATCGACTCAAAATGTGATTCTGATCGGTATACTTAAAGGTGGATGTAGGACCATTATTTGTGTGAGTTACAAACATCAGCACAAACGTATAATACCCTCCCCATTATAGTGGTGTAGGGTATAATTAAGCTCTCAAATTAAAACTTTTATAAACGTTTAAAACTTTAATAAATATTTATCATAAATCGTTTTGTGCTATTTATTGTATCATAGCTGTTGTAATTCATTATATTAAGTAATAATAAAAATTTCAATTTAACGCCTTTTCTTTAGCATAGAAAACAAAAACAAACTGTGGTGACAACAATTTTGTAAACAACAAAATATGCAAATAAATTAAAAGGAAATTAAACACAATATCTCACACACACTTGTTGCAGCATTCGGTTGTAACTTGCAACTTATGTTGAATATTCAACATATTTGTATTTGAGATCATATCATATGAATTAAGTGCGTGTTTATTTAAAATGTATCATAAACCAAAATTTATATTAAATTAAATTTTTGAAAAAAAAAAAAAAAAATTAAAATGATTAATGCTTCTAAAATCTCTAGACGAATATTAGGTAAGAAAATGTAATTATATCCAAAGTTTAAGTGAAATATTCAGTAATATTTCAACAATTCAAAATTATTAAATTTTAAAGAAACGTTTTAAATAAACTCACCTGAGCCATTGCTGCCAAACCAAAGGGCAACTAAATCTTCACTGGGGGATGTATGATAATGATTGCCATATAAATATGGACTGGGATAATCTAAAAGCATGCGGCGTGATGAGGGTGAATCAGCTGAAATTAAAGTGAAAAGTTTTAAAATCTTACTATTCTTTCAAAAACTTTTTACTATTTACCTTGATGTTGTGCGGCGTACTCCGAAGCTTTCTGAAGATTTAAACGCGGTCTAGGTTGGGGTTTTGCTAAACTAGTAACAGTAGTCGTTGACGCTGTCGATGTTGCTGTAGTAGTAGTAGTTTGAGATTCTGTACTAAGAGCCGAACTAACTGAAGCCGTTGCAGGCGCTGAGCTGCTCGTTGGCATCAGACTATGAGGTGGCGGTTGATTGCCATTGGCAGCCGAATGATCTAACAGTAAATGTTGTACTTGAAAAATATCTACAAATTCTTCCAATTCTTCACTAGGGGCAGCCACATTTCTACAGCTTTCAGATGAGGCCACATAACTGCCATTGGAGGCAGCATGTACTCCAACACTGGTCGTCGGGGGTGCATATGTCGGTGCAGCATGTGTATAATGATGAAAATATGACGATGCTGCAGACGGCGCAGGTGTATAGAAACCAAATTGTGGTCCCGGTTGTACGGTAATGGGTGGTGGTGGCGGCGGTGGTGCCGTAAACTGCAAAGGTGAACGTCCTAAATTTAGCAACGGAGTAGAAGGTGTATTCAATGAATCCGAACTCCCGGCATTACTTGTGCTCAAAGTTAAATTATGATTATTATGTCCCGAGGCATTTGTTACAGCTAAATTTACCGATGATGTTGCAACAGCACCTGTTGCTGTTGCGGCTACTGTTGGCACTGTTGAATGATGGTGATGTTCAGTTTCTCGACGCATAGCTAACAACATTTTTACGTTCACACAAAAATAAATTTCAACTCAGAAATTTGATTATTTTAATTTAAATAATATAAAAACCAAAAACGCACACTCAGTATTTAAAACAAATTAAAATGCAAATAAATTTTTTGAACTCATAATTCAAATGAATATTTAACGGAACTAAAAATAAATTATATTTGTTGTTCTTTTTTTTGTTTAAGAAAAATTATAAATTCATACATACATTTACTTTAATAAAACTTACATTTAGTAAAATTATTTATGTTTTATTAACAGTAATTCGTTTTATTTAAATTGATATTTAATATTTTCGTTGTGTCAGTTGCATATCAGTCTTGGTGAATTTAATTGATTTGAACACAAATCTGCAAATAAAAGAAAAATCAATATTTATATTAGTATTATATCTATTACTAATTGATTTACTTATATTTAAATAGGAACATAATCTTAACTGTTAACGATTTCTCTAACTTGGTCGAAATGTTAAGAAGAGATAAGTTTAATGGCACAATTTTTGAAGAAGAACAAAGCCCCATTATTTGCCCAATTTTAACTAACTAACTAACTAACTAACTACTAACTAACTAACTAACTACTAACTAACTAACTAACTAACTAACTAACTAACTAACTAACTAACTAACTAACTAACTAACTAACTAACTACTAACTAACTAACTAACTACTAACTAACTAACTAACTAACTAACTAACTAACTAACTAACTAACTAACTAACTACTAACTAACTAACTAACTAACTAACTAACTAACTAACTAACTAACTAACTAACTAACTAACTAACTACTAACTAACTAACTAACTAACTAACTAACTAACTAACTAACTAACTAACTAACTAACTAACTAACTAACTAACTAACTAACTAACTAACTAACTAACTAACTAACTAACTAACTAACTAACTAACTAACTAACTAACTAACTAACTAACTAACTAACTAACTAACTAACTAACTAACTACTAACTAACTAACTAACTAACTAACTAACTAACTAACTAACTAACTAACTAACTAACTAACTACTAACTAACTAACTAACTAACTAACTAACTAACTAACTAACTAACTAACTAACTAACTAACTAACTAACTAACTAACTAACTAACTAACTAACTAACTAACTAACTAACTAACTAACTAACTAACTAACTAACTAACTAACTAACTAACTAACTAACTAACTAACTAACTAACTAACTAACTAACTAACTAACTAACTAACTAACTACTACTAACTAACTAACTAACTAACTAACTAACTAACTGAACCGAACTCATAACATATTGTAAAGAGATTTTGTTTTGCATAGAGCTTGTTTATGTCGAATTTCATCGCTAAACTCGTATTTTTAAATAAGGAAAACTCTTTTCTGAAGATATCCTTATATAGTCGCTATATTCGTTTTTTTAAGCCAGTAATGGTCATTATAGTAATTTTTGAAAGAAGCCTTATATGGACGATCAACATAAAACTTGGTAGAGAGGTTTTGACTCGTAAGAAACTTGATTATCTCAAATTTTTTTGCTACACTCGTTTTTCACACCAGTAATAAGCGTTAAAGTAATTTTTTGAAGGGGACCTTATATGGGTAGTGGGGTAAATTATGGACCGATCCTTATAAATTTTGACAAAGAGATTTAGGTTCCTATAAAATATGTTCATGTCGAATCCTACCGCTGTAGATGCTTTTTTAGGCAGTTATGAGCTTTAAAGTCATTTTCTGAAGGAGACCTTATATGGCGGGTAGGGTCAATTATGTGCCGATCCTAACAAAATTTTGCAAAGAGATTTATGTTCCTATAAAACATGTTTATGCTGAATTTCACCGCTATAAATGCTTCTTTTAGACAGTTATGAGCGTTAAATTCATTTTCTGAAGGATACCTTATATAGGGGCAAGGTGAACCCATTGCCCATTTTCAATACCAAACCTGCATCAACTATAAACTTCTGTGCAAAATTTCAGCTCTCTAGCTGTTACCATTTGTACTCTATTGTGATTTTAACAGACAGACGGACAGACAGATGGACAGAGAGACAGACGGACGGATATGGCTAGATCGTCTTAGAATCTAATAAGGATCCAGAATATATATACATTTATGGATCTTAGACGAATATTTCGATGTGTTACAAACGGAATGACAAAAACAATATGATCCCCCTTCTTTGTTGATGGTGGGTATAAAAAAAATCATTTACCAATTTGAAGTGTGAAAATTTTAATTTAATTTCGACCACTGTGCATCAGGCTTACTACGCACATGGCTTGTTTATAATAGATTTAAATAAACACCTAAAATCTTTGTAAATACTACGCAGATTCCTTTGTAACCACTTGTTGATATCGATACTATTTGCATATTTACCTTTTCGATATTAATGAGTTAATTTAGAAATGATAGAATATTTTCTTTTTAATTTTTATTAAATTTTTAAATATTTTCACTAATTTTTAACACCGACGGAATAAAATATTTAGCGAACATGAAAAGAACACACACCGACGGTTTTCAATTTTGTGTTGATAATTTATATATATGTATATGTATATAAAAATTTTGCCAAAAATATTTGGAGAAAATTTTTTAAAATTTTTTCTAGTTTCATATAATTATTTCTTTTAGATTATAAACACATTGATAAACGCGCAAATTACACACACAAGCGCGTAAATTTTATTTAAAATATTTTATTCTACTTTTTTAATTAATTAATGATTTTATACTCTTAATTTATATTGTTTATAATTAAATTCCTTACAATTTGTATAATTTGTATACAAAATTTTTAATATTTTCTTTTTTCTCTTCTTTTCAAACTAGTATTTGTTAAATAAACCGTAAACGTGCAACACGTTGTATGAACAATATTTATTTTGGCACAATTTTTATGTTTTATTTGATTATTTTTTGGTTTTTTACGTTTCTTCTTCATTTATTATGAATATGTATGATTTTATTTCTCTTTTAGAATTTTTTTTCTTTAAATTTTCAAAATAACAACAATTGATTTTTTGGGATTTTATTTTAAAAATTGTGTTAATTTTTTTGCCCGTTTAGATTGACGCGAGACGAGCCGTTGAGCCGCCAAGCCGCTACTAGCTAACATTTAACTAGCCGGTGAAAGAAAAACAAAACAAACACACACACACACACTTTCACTCATTCACTTAAACTCACACAAAATCTGTTGTCTGAAATGAAAATCTTCGGAGGGAAAAATGCAAAAAGAAAATTGTGATGCTTTTTGTTGTTGTTGTCGTCATCGGTATTGTATATGTTGATGTGTGGTGGCTTTTCTCAATATTTTCTTCATTCATTCTACTTTTGTAGACGCTACGTATGAAATATTTGTTGAAACGATTAATAATTGTGAAATAAAGTGAATTTTACGAACGAAGAAAAACAAAATAAAAACAAATAGAAAAGTGTAGATGGGCTGGGTCGGCCATATGTTACCCTACACCAGTCGTAACCATTTTCAATAAGCTTCCTCCTTGGGTCAAAAGAAGCGCACAACCCAATATACCCACTAAAATGGTGTATGGTATAAATAAGCAAAAATGGCAAATGACAGGCTGAATGGCGGGCTACTAACAAATGACTGTTGTTTAGAGAAATGAAAGCAAAGAAAATAATAATAACAACACAAAAGCACATACAAAAACAGAAAAAAAAATCCACTCTAATACTTTGCTCATTTTATTGTACGTACATAATAACGAAGCTGATCTGAAAATTATGTTTAAAATTTAGATAATTTTTTTTAAATGAAAGATTCATTTAAAATTTTCAACAATAACAGTTTTAACAAAAATTATATATAAATAAGAAATTTTTCAATATATTCTATATTGCAGTAAATTAAAAAGTACTACTTATTTGTGTGACAAGAGACTACCATTTCAACAGTATGCTGTTAATCTTTCTAAAAAGTACCAAAGAGTTCCCTTTTACAGATATTCATCAGGTTTCATTAGTTTCGCTGTACTCGTAATTTTCTGAATCCTCCTCGTCAAATTTACTGAAGAGAACTTTATATGAGGGGTAGGGTCAAGTATTGACTGATTCTTATAACATTTTGTAGGACCTTATATATGAGGGGTAGGGTCAATTATCCGATCCGATCCTCATAACATTTTGTAGACAAATTTTGGTTCATATAAAATTTGGGGGGTAGGATACATTTACATGCCGCATGACACGACACATTTCGCATGAAATATAATTAAATTCATAACTGTACCCGTATTTTTAAGCCAGCAATGATCGTTAAAGTAATTTTCTGATGCGGACCTTATATGGAATTTAGGGTCAATTATGGACCGATCCTCACTAAACTTGGTAGAAAGATTTTGAGCTTTAAAGTTATTTTCTGAAAGGGACCTTATATGGGGGTAGAGTCAATCATATGTCGATTCTCATAAAAGTCAGTATAGAGGTTTAGGCGAATTATATACTCGTACTTTTAATACAGTAATGAGCGTTAAAGTCATTTTCTAAAGAGCAACTAATAATGGGGGTAGGGTCAATATTCGTGGCACAATAGGAATTTTTGTCGATAGTCAGTCGACACTTCTTTCTCTAAACTCATACACTACCACTTTCATACTAGTCAGACAATGCAAGAAGGATTTGTGAAGGCTGGGTCACCTGTCTCACATTGTCTGAGTGGCCCTGTCAAAACAGATTCCCTTCGACTCTACTTGACTGTTTGCGTGCAGCGATCTACAACGATAACCAACCAACCATGGAGGTAGGGTCAATTATGGACCGATCCTCATAAAATTTGGTAGAGAGATTATGGCTCATATGAAACTTATTTATACTTATACTTTTAAAACAGTTATGCCCGTTAAAGCTGTTTTCGGCGGTATATGGCTCATTTAAAATTTAATAAGGACCCCACAATATATCACTTTTGTGGGTCTATAACCAATATTTCGATGTGTTACAAACGGAATGACAAAATCAATATACCCCCCATCTTTTTTGTTGATGTTTATAAAAAGTACCAGAAAGTCGCCTTTTATAGATTTTTATT